TGTGCCAAAGGCATGCACTGTTATTATCGCAGAACTAATTTGCAACACTAGATCTTTCTCCTCCAACCTAATATGGAGGGCGATAATCTGAGTGTCCACGTGGATTCAAACACCACTTGTAAGCCATAACGACCAGTCTGCTTAAACCTACTCCTCCCACATAATACAGAGGGCTTAGGTTATCCACAGTTGCATTAAGTTGCAGGAGTGGAGAGCAAAACTTGATTCACTGATTATAGTATTATGAACTGCATCTATGAATTATAATTATATGTATATAATGTTACCTGAAATAACAGAGATTTGTTAAAGTCAATGGATAATCCATTTATCCATGCTCAGTTTAGATTAATTAATACTTACATATTACTCCACTGATCTTGAAACTATCGACAAGCAGTATGACTTAATGCTAGTTATGAATAAGCATGAACATATGAGCTTTTATTTGATGTAACCCCAACTGATCCTCGATAGGCTACGTTTTGTTTTTACAAACATGGATATAAATTTACTGCTATTACTAAAATTTTTTCTTGCATTTTGAAAACAAAAAAAATATTAAAATTCAGGACCTGGCTTCTACAGAATAGCAGACATTGGATTATTTTGAAAGTTACGGGATTCTACCATCAAAAATGAGTATTAATGGACATGATACGGTACTTTATTTGAAAATGGATAAACAATGGGGATTTAACATTTGTGATAGCCCCATAGTTCTTTTACAGCTGGTTGAGAGAATTAACATCTGGGTTAGAGTAGATTTAAGGGTGCCCCTTGGATTATCGCTACATTGTTTCATTTATTGCCAAGTTGTTGTTTCATTCATTGCCAAGTTGTTGTTTCATTTATGGTAACCTGAGTAGTTGAATGCTATGGAAACCCTATTACGATATACAGGTAGCCCACCTACAACACAGTTTCACTATAACATGATTCATAAATTGCGAGAACCCTCCCATAACACAGTTTTCGTATAGCACGGTTTCGCTCTAACACGGTAAGAAAACTGCCCAAGCAATCCAAAGAAATTCAACGAATTCCGCACGAAGTTTTTCCATATTGTGCAAAGCACCCATATAGTCATTTAATACATAAGAATCCTTGTTTCGTAAGTTCTGCCAGATGTCTTCCAAGATCTGGTCGCCGTAAGAACAAATGTCCTCAGATGACCCGTATGAACAAATGTTCCAGATAACAATGAAAAAACCTCACTATCGCAGAAGGTGAGCAACATAAGGTCACAATAAGTGCTCTAAAATACACAACCTGCAAGTTCGGCTTCCAAAATTAAAATTTTCGTCTCCATGGATTAAAAACAGAAGTGTCTCACGCTGCTGGTTGGCAGTCTCCCAGTGTGTTAAAGAATAACTTTTTCATCTTTAGAACATTAAGTTTCAGTCCCGAAACATGTCCAATAAATATTTAAAAAAAAAAAACGTTTAAAAGGATATTAATTTCTTTTGAAGAACAGATACAAATCTTGGACCGTCTTCTAAAAGGAGAAAAGATATCTCACATTGTTTAATTTAATCTCACATGTTTTAATTGGAATGAAGAAACAGTTCAGACAATTAAAAAAAAAATGAAAAAGAAATAACAAGTGCAATTGCTGAAGAATCTTCAACATCCGCAAAATGTGCAGTTCGCCCCTGGGGCCACCAATAATTGACAAGATGGAAAAGGCACTCAGCATTTGGATTGATGATAGCTGTCAAAAAAGAATTTTGTCGGTTGGTAATATCATTAAACAAAAAACAATCAAAATTTTCAAGCACCTCAAAGAACATGAGAACCCTCTGTCAACCCAGATTTTCTGGTAAATAAAGGTTTAGTTCGAAAATTTCAAAACGCGTTTTGCCAATTCATAGCATAAGAATTCAAAGAGAATCTGCATCGGCTGATTATGAAGCTGCTAGGAAGTTACCTGAAAAATTTCAGAATATTACAGAACAAGGATATACAGCAGTTCAAGTTTTCAATGCCGACAAAACTGGGTTTTGGTGGAACAAAAATGCCCAATAGAACCTTTATATTGAAAAAAGAAAAAAATTGCATCCTGATTTAAAGGTGTCTAAAAATTGTCTAACGCTATTTTTGTATTTTTCTGCAGCATGACTTTGAACTTTATGACAAAAACCTTGTTGATTTATAGATCTTTAAATCCTCGTGCACTTAAAAGCGTAAATAAAAACACCTTACCAGTGTATTGGAAAGCAAAATCAAGAGCTTGGGTAGATGGGAATATATTTAAAGGTTTTAAAATTATTCTGTGCCAAACGCTGAACGTTATTTGAGGCAGAAAAATTTGAACTTTAAGGCTCTATTACTATTAGATAATGCTCCATGTCACCCACAGGATTTCAATCATCTCAATGTTAAAATACTGTTCCGACCACATAACACTACTTTGTTACTCCAACCATTGGATCAAGATATTATTTATACCTTTAAAACATATTACATAAGAAGAGCATTGCAGAAGATTTTAGACGTAACTGATTCAAAACTGATTAATATAATGGATGCGTGGAAGACATTTCAATCAAGAACTGAATCGACTTCATCTCTTTGTCGCTGAAAGAACTGAAAGCATCAACGTTATATGCATGTTCGAAGAAGATATGGCCCTCTTCAGTTCAACTAGAAAACATGCGTGAATTGTCAGAAAATGAAAGTGGTGGCATATTAGAACTTGCTAAATCAATTGGAGGTGAAAACTTTGTGAACATGGCTATTGAGGACATTCAAGATTTAACAGTAGAAGAAGAAATTGACAAAGATTTCGATAGAAATGGCATCCAAACCAATCTCTTTCCAACGAAAAAGCGTTCTCTGTTGATTATACGGAGCAGTGACAATGAAAAAATTTATTAAACTAAAGTTGCATTAATATGTAATATTTTTTGTTTTGTGTATATTTTTAATAAAAATTTAAATGTTTAAATACAATTTTAAAAAGTTTGTTTTAATAAGTTTTCGGAACATAACCCCCCATTTTATACTACCTCTGGGTCTCGTACAACACGGTTTCACACAGCACGGCATTTTCTCATAACCTATCTACCCTGTTATACGAGGGTTACTTGTAATTGGTTGCATGATTGCAGTGAATTTGAATGATGGGAAAAGATTTTGAAATGCTTGTTTGTGTCGGATTTTGGATAAGAAGTATATTGTTATTTTGTGGTTTACATGGTGAAATAGCTGAATATGGTTGTAGGGTTTATATTTATTTTAACTAACATTTATTTTAAATTTAAACTTTCTTTCCTGTCAAGCCTTACTTTCCCCTGGAATTGCCAATGCCAGAGTATGTAAATTTTTAGTAGAACGCGCAAAGTATTCAAAATAGTCAGCGGAAGTATTCTGAGTTAAATAGAAGGGAAACGAGTTCGAAAGTGTGCTTTCTTGCTTCACGAGCGTGGAGGTGGCTAGGTAGAAATTGAAAGAACCGCGCGTTTCGGCCTGTGTGCTTGCCTCGGCAGATAGTTAAATCTTTCAACGTAATATTCAGAAGTTTGTTGAATTATCAGCGGTATCTTAGAACGCGGTTAGGTTAGTTACGTTTAGAGAGCCTCGTAGGTAGTCACTTGTTATTATTCATTTTTAGTTTCTTATTTTTATTTTACCGCCGAGTCGGCGTAGTTTGTGAGCGTCAAGAGCACGCATCTGTAATTTTTAAAGTTGAATAAAAAGGGATTTAAACCCTTCTCAAGACTTTCCAGTTCTTTCCAGTTCTCAGCAGTCACCACTATTGTTGCGTGCAGGTTGGGGCCGCGCAACATTACATGGTAAGATTAATTTGAAGTTTCTGTACAATTTGGTACAAAAAGGGAAAAAGCATTAATTGACTGGTGTGTAAATGAAGGTTTAATTAGTAGTCATTATAAGTGTCCTGTTTGTAGAAAGGAAATGCATATGGTCGAACATTGGAGGATACTGCCACTACGGAGGATATTTTTTACTCTTATTTTTGTGAATTCATGTGGTGATGCCAGTACACAGATTCTAGTTTGGACAATTTTAGTTAGTTTTTGGATGCTGTTAAGGAATTTTGTTTGACTGAAGAGATGGAAGTTTGTAAATAAGGTAAGTGGACATTTACTAAGATAAATTTCCTTTTTTATATTATATCATTGTTTGACTTAAAAAATGTAATTTATTGAAATTATATATGTTTTTTTCGCTGCTCCTTTGACTTTTTAAGTGAATATAGATTGATGTGTACACGGGCAAAGTTAAAAAAATGCGCAATGCCTAGTTTGCACAATTCCCTGATTTTTTTTAAAGTGAAAATAGGTCGATATGTACATGGCTACCGAGTCTGTGTAATTCTTTAAGTTTTTATTTTGGATTTGTGTAGCAACGATTTTTGCCACAAAAATCACTGCTACACAAAGCCAAAATATCAAGTCAAAGAAATGCACAAACTCAGTGTCCACGTACCGCCAAAAATCGCCAATTGTCACCAAGGGGCACACGTAAATATATTTTTACCAAGATATGTTAAACAGAGAAATGAACAACTGGATATGGCCAACAAAACAGTAATAGATGGGAACAATAACCTGGGGAAAGTCTCCATTCTCACAGCATTCTAAAACAGCTTCTGGTAGAGTCCTAACAAAATAGTACAAACTGATATAAGCCTTTTTATGCAGCAAAAAATTGAAACAGATTGTTTAGTGATCCTTTGGTGGGATCTCTACTAACTTTCATGCTCAATGTTAGCCAACATTTATGACTGCTGGGTAATATATGCGTATCCATTAATCCTTTATGTTGCCCATTTTTTTAATTATGTTCAATTTTTAGACAACAGTGCATTTTAAATATTGCTAAACTCATGCTGCTTTCAAAAAGAGAATAGTATAAGGAAAATTATATGCAGATCTAACATATTCAGAAAATTTCTCAGTTTTAAAATGTTACATGCATTAGATCTAAAATATCATGAATATATCCAAGTTTTAAAAAGTTACAATATATTTTACCCTTTCGCATCCAGTCCTTTTATATAATTAGATAATTCATCAATAAACAGTTGTAGATTTTCTTTTAATTCATTATCTTCTTTAACATGTGAAGCATACTGGATAGCTTCCTCTAAAAACATTTTACACTTTTTCTGAAATTAAAATTACCACATATGATTAAAATCAAAAATTTTTTTAATGTGTACAAAACAGCCATGAATAATATTTAGTATTATTACAACAAAATAATTTTAAATCAGCCAAAAGTTTTTAAATAAGTAATTCTTATACAGGGTGACTCTAAATTGTTTTTAAAAATTAAGAGTGGTGATAGTACTCATTCAGATGAGCAGTAATTACCACAGAACATACGGTCGCATTCCACTCTGAGAGGCAGAAAAGAGGAATATTAGAATTCCAACCTGAACTTACAACAATGTTGGGAGAGCAAATGAACGAGACCAAAAGTTGCACAATTAGTTTAGTAAAAACCTCATAGAGTGCACAAAACTGATAAAACCAAAAACTTGGCGTTCGAGAGTTAATTCAAGATCAGATTAAGATGGCTAACACTGAGATGCACATCTTTGGTTGGCAAGGTCTCAACCTTGCAAACAATTGCAACAAGTTAATTATCTAATCAAGGGCTGAATATTATAAACTAATTCTAACTTCTGCTGTATGCTGAGATTAGCATAAAAAGTTCATGCTGTGTTCGGGCTGTCAGAACTTCGTGTCCCATAGAAGGGTGCTTCAAGTAAAATGAGTGCTGCACAGTAAATTTAGGAGAACAGGATAAAAGATGGCGAAGGGGGGGGGGAAACTGCTACATTGATACTTGATATTAAGGTAGCAATTTTTCCCCTAATAATTTAGATAATTAACTTGCTGTAATCATTTGCAAGGGTGACACCTTGCTAACCAAAGATGTGCATTTGAGTGTTTGCCATCAAAGTCTGAGCTCGAATTAACACTCGAACTCCAAGTTTTTGGTTTTATCTGGTTTGAGTCCTCAGAGAGTTTTTCACTAAACTGATTATGCAACTTTTGGTCTCGTTCATTCGCTCACTCGACATTGTTGCAAGTTCAGGTTGGAATTCTAATATTTCTCTTTTCTGCCTCTCAGAGTGGAATGCGACCCTATTTTCTATGGTAATTTTTGCTCATCTGGATGAGTACTATCAGACCCTTTTAATTTGTAAAAACAATTTAGAATCACCCTGTATATATACATATATCTGCTTTCAGGAAACTCATTTAAAAGAAAAAAGGTATTATCTTATTACCATAGCCCTAGTCAGCTCTCTGCAAAACCCCTTAGACCTGCAGAGAAGGATCACTAGTTGGAAAAATGGATATCTGAAGGAACATGAAAAACAGTTCATAGTTTTTTATTTGTTTTGCTCTACCTTCACTTTTCACGAATTTCTAGGAAGCACATAAAAATAAAATAAAATCCTCTTGAAAAGATCATATCAACTGCATTTCCAGCTGTATAACTAGCGAGGATATCTGTGCCCTGGTGCAGCATCTACGGGATGCCAAATTCATGTTACAAAATTTTAGAATGAAATATTTTCCATTCTTGGCAAACAAGAGGCAGCATGAAATCTTCAGTTGTATCCAGATGCTGAAAACCCTAGATAAGCTCTGCCCATTTCATAAATAAACTGGCATGAGCTGTACACATATATTTATGCTCCTGGCCATGTTATCTATAGTCAAATAGCATCTGAAAAGTATGGATTCAAGATATGTATATATAAGATATTTTAATTTTGCAGCAATGGCAAACCTCTAATACAAATTTTCATTTTGTATTAGATAGAATGGAACTGCATTCATTGGGACTATATCTGCACAGACAATAGTGAAACTCTCACATACCACCCACCTGTATCTGTACCTGCCCTCTTGCCTATCTCTAATGGTTATGGCACATATTTAAACCTATTACTTATCTCATAAATTTTCGTGATTTTCTTCAAGTACTGTTTTAACGATAATAAAGTGGAACCTCAAAATATGAGCACCTCTATATATGAGAAATTAGAGATACGAGGAAAGTATGAGCGAAACCTTCGTCTCTAAATACGAGCACCGACTCAAGCAACGAGCAAAGAGCCATGTTGTTGGTATGCGTGGAGCTATTTCCCGATTCGGCTTCACTCGGGGAATAATCTCGTCAGATCACTCAGTGTTCTTTGTTCTTTGTGTTTTTGTGCTTGTAAGTTAATTATTTTTTACATTTAACGCGAAAATAATTACTTCACAATACCTCCCAAGAAGATTGTTGTCTCAGATAGTGCTGCAAAGAAAAAGAAGGAAGCCATGGTCATTAAAATAGAGAAAGAAATTATAGATAAACATAAATGTGGTTAAGAGTGAAGGAACTGGGGAAGACTTACGGCTGTTCAATATCCAACAATCTGCACTATTCTGAAGAAGAAGAAAGAAATTAAAAAACTTGATGTGGCCAAAGGAGTTACTGTTATTTCCAAGAACTGCCCAAAACACCTAGAAGATGTTGAGAAGCTTGGTGTGGATTAACAAGAGGCAGTTAAAAGGAGATTCAGTGTTGACAGTTATCATTTATCGGAAGCTTCTATAAAGGTAAACTACCGTTATATTACTTACCAGTGTTATTTATTAGAAAAATTAATTTTTATGTTAACATCTTTGGGGGTGCAGAAGAGATTAATTGGATTTCCATTAATTTCAATGGGGAAGTTTGTTTCTAGATACAAGTAATTCTTTATACAAGCTCAATGTTGAAACGAACTAAGCTCGTATCTTGAAGTTCCACTGTATATTAAAAAATGTAGCACTTTGATTAAATTAAGTTATATTGGCTCCAGTATACAATTGGGTGCCCCTTCGATTTTGTTCAATTTTGGTGATGAAACTCCCTTTCGGTACTACTTTTATATACTTTATATAACGCCAAACGTGGCGATATGTGTTCTACGCTAGTTTTTGGCACTATCGTATGTTCTGTGTGTTTGTATGCAACTCTTTTCACGTTGAAACTTGATTTTTCTGTAGTGGTTTTATCTGCTGGTTGGTTTGGTGGGCATTTTGAAATAGCTTCATAACTGTCAGCAAAGTTTAAGATTTAGATCATGGTTTTCGTGTAGTAAGTTAACTTTGCAGGAAGTTTTTATTGTTACTTTTGAAATTTTTAATTGCAAAAAGATGTGTGATATACAAAAATCATGGCATTCTTGTTCACAGATGTTGTGTGACTGCCAAAATTTTATTCACGAATTTATGCTCCGTGTCTCAAAAGATAGAGAAAAGGATAAAGTGGTTGAAATTTTGCTGATGTTTGAAATTGATATTTCTGCTGTTTGAAGAAGAATTCACAATGATAAGTACATTTTATTTTATTGTTATTTTGCAGAATGTTACGTTCACTTTTTTTTTTTTTTAAGTTTATTTTGTTGATTTGTGCCTAATGCTGAGGCTGTGCGCAATGCCTAGATTGTGCAATTTGGTGATATTTTTTTTATTAAACAGAATGCTGTGTACATGGTATTGTTTGAAATTTATTGTTGTTATGTTAGTTTATTTTAGCGAGGTGTGCGTAATTTCTAGATTCCTTCGCTGCTTGGATTGCACAATTCTCTGATTTTTTTTTTACTTTTCGCATGGCGCAACTTGTTAATTGCCGTGCGGACGGAAGGCAGTATCATATAGGATGGAGGTTTTGCGTCGCTAAGCCTAATTTTATAAAAAAAAAAAAAAAGTTTTGCTTCTACATTATATTTTTTGGATCATTTAGATTATTACTTGAGCTCTTATAATGTTCAAATTAGCACTAAGAACGTTTTTTTTTCTTATTTTACTGAAAATATACTTAAAAAATGCTTACCTTGTAAAAGAATTTTTGAATCGTATCAATTATTGAAGTTTAATTGAGAAATGCGTTATAGTAAAATAATAAACAACCAATAAAACTATTACGTAAGATAACAAACTGAAGACTGTGTAAATCTCAGCACTTAGCAGAATATTTCAACTCTTAGAAAAATACGCTTCTAACTCTTTAGAAAATGAATCATCACTCTCATCTGCGTTAATAAATCGTTCATTGACCATACGAGGGTATTCTTTCTCTGATAAATAGCGTCTTTCCTCTATAATAGACCGGAGGTGAGGCTTTCCGAAATAAAAAGAGCAGAAACGAAATATATCTGAACGGCAATGCAAAACGTAACAGCACTCCACATACTAACCCTAAAACATTGTACATAGTAAAGAAAAAATAGAATAAAAAAAGGAACTGGATATAAATCAGACACGCGAATGTTTTCAATAGCACGCAGCGATTTAAAGAGCTCACCTATGTTTACGTTTTCTCTCCCCCCCCCACCCTCGCAAGAGCTGATGAGTAAAATATAAAATCAAGCAGAATATATCACGCTCAAGGTCAGGTCAAGGTTAAAACTGTGTTCATTTCAAAAGAAATGGACATAGAATGCCATCTAGTGGCCTTCAAAATGTTCCAGTTAAAATGAGATACACATCACCAGTCCTCTGAATGAATCTCTAGCGATGATTGGATGAACCCCGGCTGTAATAGACGTTCTTAAGATGGATATGGACCCCTCCCGAACGGTTTAAGTTAAAACAGATCGCTGTGTACATAGATTCTTGTCAAATATTTTTGGTTAGAAATTTTATGTTTTCGCTATCTAAATTTTTTGTTTTTGTTTCGGATTTTTGGCATAAACTGAATGTTTCAAAATATAGACAAAAAATTTAGGTTATAATATGGTGCTGTCTAGTTTCTCGCAAAAAATGTTTGGCAAGAAATTTGTCACCAACCAAGGGCATATATATGAGTAATTCCCCCATTTCTGATTACCATGATAGTTTTAATTTGTTTTCAGCTTCCTGACTTTTTTTAAAGTGAAAACAGATCGGTGTACAAAGATACATAGACAAAGTCAAAGCAAGTGCAATGACGAGTTTGTGCAATTCTCTGATGTTTTTTGAAGTGAAAATAAATCGATGTGTACATGGACACAGAGTTCATGCAATTCTTTGACTTCTTATTTTGGTTTTGTGCAGTGGCCATCTTGAAATTGTACATTCTACGCACCAATCTTGGTGTCAAAAAAGAATCACCAAAAAAAAACAAGGGGCAGTCAATTGTAAACTTTTACTGTTATATCTTTTGCATAATAATTCCACCTAGCTGCTTTGATTAGCATAGAGGTCAAATAAGGTTGAAAAATGGTCTGGATCAGACAAAAACATATAGAAATCTTCTCAAGAGTTAAACAGCAAAAGAAAAATAGAAGACCTCATTGATCTTCAAGGAATCAATACTAACATCACTCTGATTACCCAATAAGAGGTGAAAACAAATCCACCATACTTATGCACAAGGTATATCTATGCAGTTCAAGTCCTGCCAATCTGCTCTTTCCACACAGAGAGCAGTTATCTTTCCAGACAGCAATTATCTTCAGATAATTCATAATCCATGTCATTCCTTCAAAATATCTTTCCTGATGACCAAAAATGCAAAACAAAACTGCACGTTACTTATTTTAAAAGTTTTCAATTTATAAATAAAGCATATGTAAACTGGTATTAGTATATATGGTCATTCAAACACAAGAGTTATGCACTAGTATGGCATTAAAGATTATAATGAAGATATCAGATTATATTTCTCTAAACAATAATTTCAAAAATAAATATTAATTTATAAATTAAATGATAAGCTGAAAAAAATTTAGCCAATTAATATGTGGTCTAAATACAAATTTCACAATATAAAAAGGTTAAATATTTACAAGTGAATGGATATTAGCAATCAAAAAAGAATAATTACATTTTTACAGGTGTTACAGGTGAACATATTCTAAAAAAACACATTCTAATGTCTAAACATATTCTAAAACCTATATTAAGCATTGCAACATTATTAAAGCAAATTCCTGAAGATCTATAAATGATACACATTAAAACAGAAATAACCATAAATGAAAAATTGTTCATAAATCATACCTTTCTTTTTGCAAACGAGTCTAAGCTATATTCCTGCAAACATCCATCATGTAAATGTACACCAATGAGAGTAGCAAATTCTGGACTATCTTTCAAACGCCAGGCCCAAAAATCTTTAAATATGCTACTTGCTTCACCATTGGTAACCATTGTTTCGTTCACGGGTGTCAGAATTCTAAGATCTTGGGAGAGAATTAATACTCATTGATCATAACGCACTGAATTAAAGTGTCTAATATTAAAAATCAATGCCTCTTTAAAAAAATCAAGACTGATTTTACAATTAAATCAAAGGAAAGTTATAAATGTAACTATTTCTGATTCTTTTTTTGCAGTTTATTATGAGGAAATTTGTATTTTTCTTTTAAATCTTCAAATTTCACAACTTTCGTTTTGGCTTAGTATTGCCACACCATTTTTTTTTTCTTAATATAATAAATGGCCATAGTTCTTAAATACAAAGATGAAGTCTAAATGAAGGGGAAAACTTGATATAAATTTATTGCTACATTTGCCATACAGAAAAAGAATGTTTTTGAGTTTTAATTTCTCATTTTTTTTAAATCAACATCGTTATCATTTATTAGAAACGGAAGAGCAGCGTTTGTTCAACTCAACACTCTGACGTTTCGAAAAAAAATAAAAACTGCACGTGTAAAACCGAAAATTTGAATTTGTAATTGTAAGCTAGTTATAATTAAGTACTGTGATTATATTCTTGCCTTTTGAAGCATTTTAATATGCGACCGCTTACGGATGAGGAGACAAGAGTTCTATTTGAAAAATTATCAAAATAGTAAGTATTTATAACTACTTGTTATAAACAGTTAAATCTTAATAAAATTTTAATGAGGCATTTTTTTAGTATAACTGTTTCCGGCTAATCTTTGGAATATGGTAACAGGTAATTTGGCGACATGTTGGTAAGGCGATAAAGGTTACTAGGTAGGACTTTAACAATAATTGAATACACATTGGAATCACAGATATTTGTCCTGCGAATTCATAGACATGTCATGTGACCTTTTCGTCAATTTTCCAATCTTGATTTTAGCTAATAATCACTTAGAACGATTTCGCGCTAAATTCAGAATCGCCCACTTTTTTTGGCGCTTTTTACAAAGGAAGAAGAATATGGATTTTTTTGTCAATTGCTTTGACTTTTAAATAAAATCGTCGATGTGTACATGAATAAATGAAGAGTGTGCGCAATGCCATTTTGTGAAATTCTGGCATTTTTTTTAGTTGAAATAGGTCGGACGTGTACATGGATAGCGTTTTTAGTGAAATTCGAAAAGTGTGCGATTTGCACTGCCCATTCGCACCTGATCCTCGTCCTGATAAGACTTTGTTCCTAAAGTTCTAGCTAGAGTATTCGGCTAGCAGTTGTTGAAAAAAATGTTATTAAAAAAAAAGGTTGGAAAACAAATGGGTCCAAAAAAAAAAAAACTCTAGCAGTTACTCTCGTTTCGAAGGAGTAGGCCCACCACGGTGAGCGGGAAACGCGCTGAACACTGGGTCTCATCAGAGTTCAACCCGCGACGGGATGGCTTGCGTGGTTTTCTTTCCCCAGTGTAACTGTATACGAGCCGTTTTCTTAGAATGTCCTCCATGACGGCATCCTCCCCTTAGGCAGATTCCCTTGTGTGCTTTGCCATATAAATACACCAACACTGAGTGTCGTAAAAATCGCCAAAATTGTTGATTCATGCTGCCAAACTTGCGCCAAAAAGGAAGTATAATAAGGCAAATAATATCTAAGATTGATGTTTTAATTTAGTAAAAGGTTTTTAATTTCATATAATTATATTTTTATTATTATAATTTATTGAAAAAACTAAGAATTGATTTTAAAATATAACGAATGGTGCCTGCTCGCTCTTTCGCTACCGCTTATCATAAGCTAATTGATCTCGTTGGTTGTTCAAAAGTATTTTCTATAACTAATGATTTTTCTTTGAAAATATTCTCATAAATGTAGAATCGCTCGCTATGTTTTGCCCTTTTTACAAGGGTAAAAACAATTGGTTTTTTGTCATGTCTTTTACTTTTAGTGAAATAGGTCGATTTGTACATAGATAAAGTGAAGGGGGTGTGTAGTGCCATTTTTGTGCCATTGCTAGATTTTTTTAAAGGAAATATGTCGATTTGCACATGGATAATGAATATGTGTGCAATTCTTAAAACGCGCAAAGCAATGAGTGATTCTGACTTTACCCAAAATTATTGCCACTTTTCATCATGGGCATTCCCAAATTGTTAAATCATAGGATATCAAAAAAAGGATTTAAATTAACTTTATTTCATTGGCATCTTAAAAAATATAGAACTATATAAACTTATGGAATCTGAAACCAGCGCGTACGCTAGATTTGGCGCTTTTGTGCATACATTTTCGCCGCAATTTTTTTACGGCCCTCAAAACAGAAGAGTACCCTAGCAGGTTGCTTTTGCAGGGTTGGTCGTCAAAAAATCGCCAAGTTACCATAATGTGAAGATTCACCCTGTTTCCTAATCAGTTGATTTCTTAAGTGAACGGGGCCATTTCTGCACGGATACTTTCAGGTAAATGTCCTGGAAGAGATTTTTAAAACTTCGAATTCAAAACATTTTGCAAACAAATCATGTAGTCTACAAATAACGATAAACTTTGAAAAGTCATGCAGTAAAAATTTGCACTTGGGTGCCCCTTGATATTGTTGACAATTTTTATAACGCCAAAAAAAACAATGTTACCAAGATGGCTGTGCACATGGATTTGACGAGTTTATGATGAGGAGTAAAAACGGGACATATATGATGAGTAGTAAACAGTTCATTCAAAGAATATGTATAGTTATGCATAGTACAGTCAAAAGTCGTTAATCCAGACTCGTCGGGACTTCGGCGATTCCGGATTATCGATTTTTCCGGATTATAGATCGTCAGTTTAAATCTCGTAAGATCGCATGCAGAAATTCTAAAATTAAAAATATGAAACCGTAATTTATGAAATAAAGAACAATTATGATCTAAAGGTTATCAAAATTTACAAAAAAAAGGCTTAATATTTATTTGTTTACTTTATTAAAACATTTCTTTCAATGTAAGTTGTTTTTAAGTTGCTTCGTTTTATGTAATACTTTCTCTTTAGTTTCTAAACAGACTAAATTCTTGTTCAGTTACAAAGTTCCGCTGTTCAAGTCCGTTAATTGCTGTGCGAGATACCGACTAACTTGTCAATCGAAATTTTTTCGTTTTCACTAACCTCTCTGTCACATTCGGTTGATCTTTACATTATGGTAACTTGGCGAAAATTTGGCAACCAACTCTCCTACAGCAACCCTCTATTTTTTTTTTCCCCACCACCATTTTGTCTTCACGAAGTAAAGACATGTTTCTTTTCTTCTTATCTACTGAACACTTCTTCCAACAATCTACTAGCCGAATTACACTTATGCTAGAAATTTTATCAAACAAAACTGCTTAATCATGACAATATATTCACTGCAAATTTGGGAAAAAGTGCACAATACCATACTCCTTATGCGTTTTTCAAAAAACACATACACATAAACCATGTAAAGCCGACTTATTTTTACTTAAAAAAACATCCCAGAATTGCACAAAAATGGCATTTCGCACACTCTTCACTATATCCATGTACACTGCTTTTTTCGGTACTATTCGGTTTCGAGGGCCGTAAAAAATCGCCAAACTATTGTTGATGCCAATGCTGCCAAAAATAATTTCGGCAAGAAAGGAAGTATAATAGTAAATAACTATCTAAGATTGATGTTTTCATTTAGATGAAAGGTTAATTTCATATAATACTTTTTTATTATTATAATTTATATGAAAAAGGCTAAATATGACTGAATGGAAGCATAAGAGTGAATAACTATTTCAGATCATTATTATATTTATATAAAAATTGCTAAACATAACTGAATGGATAAATTATTCGCTATTTCGCTACCGACTATCGCTAAAGCATAATTTCGCTACCGACTTATTGCTAAAGCATAATTTCATCTCGTTGGTTGTTCAAACGTAATTGTCTATAATGAATGATGCCTTTTCTTTGAAAATATTTTCGGTAAAGTGCAGAATCGCTCACTTATTTGTTTGCCCCTTTTTACAAGGGTAAAATCAATTGGATTTTTGTCAATTTTCTTTTACTTTTTAAGTGAAAATAGGTGGATGTGTACATAGATAAAGTCAAGGGTGTGCGCGGTGCCATTTTTGTTTAATTCTAGGACTTTTTTTAAGTGAAAATAGGTCGATGTGCACATGAATACCGAGCATGTGCAGTTCTTAAAAACGCGTCAAGCAGTGGGTGAATCTGGACTTTACCCAAAATTCTATTGCCGACTTTTCGTCATGGGCAATTCCCAAATTGTTAAATCTGTAGGATATCAAAAAAGGATTTAAAAATTAAACTAGTATGTCAATGGCGGCTTAAGAAATATAGAACTATGTAAACTTACGCAATCTGAAATCAACGTGTACGCTAGATTTGGCGCGCTGTTAAATGGGCGCGTTTGCTAGATTTGGCGCTTTTGCGCATACATTTTTGTTGCAATTTTTTTACGGCCCTCAAAACCGAATAGTACCCTTTTTTCTCATAAATTAGAAAAATTTCACGAAAATACATGACAATTTTCTCAATCTTTAAACCCGGTAAAAAGAACATATATGAAATTAGCTGATCGCGAAAAAGTATTTACCCTTTTCAAATATGAACATTTCCACATATAAAATAAATAAAATATCCAAAAACTTTTACCTCTAAATCATCTATTATATTATAAACGTCACCAACGAATTCATACCACAAGCATTACAAATACTTAGTATCAAATATTTAAATTATTTCCATGCACGTTTACTTCAACTGAAACGTATACCAAATTCCTACAAACATAAAATTCACAAAATAACTATCATTTCATTAAAATATAATTAAATTCAAAAACACTACCTAAAATATAAATGAGCACATACATTAAATTAATAAAAATTACCTTACAATCCTAATTACTTTAAACTAAATCATTGCTAATTACAATTTTCCAATAATACCAAATTCCTTTCCACATTACATTTAGAACAATGCATAAAATAATATCCTCAAATAATTAAAATACTAACTTACCTAATCTTTCTCAGAATCTTGATTACGTGGCGGATACACTTTTCTAATTCATTCAATAAAATTATTGAAAGATTTTTTCTGCGAATTTTTCCTCCATACTTCCTTCCATACTTCTCCGCTAAATAAAAAGCAAACTTCTCTTTATCACAATGCCTAATACCCATTTCGAATTCACTTTACATAGGGCCATGGGATCCAAAAATTTAATCAACACTGTTTCACACAACACACTATGAAGCTAAATACTAAAATGCTAAACGCAATAAAAATTTCCACATTTTTTTCCCGATTTCCCCCTTTTCCGATTAAAGAGCCGTAATTCGTTCCATTAATATCACGACTATCCCATGATCTCTCATTTCCCTCACGCAAAATAATGCGTAATCGGAACTGAGTACTGCTCACATTATTACCAAAGTCCCAGGTAGTAACCTTTATCGCCTCCAAAATGTCGCCAAACTACCAGTTACCATTATTGTAAAGATCAACCTCACATTCTTCATATCTTTATCAATTTTTTTGCAGCAATTCCACTTTTTGTTTGTTGGACATCGAAACATACTTTCGTTTTGTAGATCCTTTGGAAGTTCCAGCATCGGAAATTCTATTTGACATAATCGAAAGTTCAAGTTTACTTTTATAAAATTGTTCTTACAGTCTGCAAAAAATAATAAGCGGGATCCAATTCGAAGATTAAGGAACAACGCAATCATTAACATTAACTGAAATAGCTAATTAGATAATTTTAGCTTACACCGTCCGTTAACATTAAACGCGCAGGCAAAAACGTATTCTGCACTTGCGCACACGCATATGTGCAGTAGTCAAGGTCTTACGGGCGCATGTGCAGAAAGTTTTTAGCTTTGAGGTCCGAATTAACGACTTTTGATGGTATATACTGTGTGTATAGTATGAATCTTCATTCATCTCCAGTCAATAATAACTTTCCTGTCATTTCACTCCTAATCATGAGAAAGAAAAATGAATATTTATCTTACGAGCAATAAATCTTTGTGAAAGTGACAACCCAGCAATTAATTAGAACCTGCCAGCTAACGAAAATGGGTGAAGTGCATAATCGCCCCCTTATTTGATGCGTTATGTTTGGCGCTTTTTACAAGAGTAAGAAGAATTGGATTTTTTTCAATTTCCTTTGACTTTTTAAGTGAAAATCCATCGATGTGTACATGGACAAAATCGAGGAAGTGCACAGTGCTGAATTAGTGCAGTCCTCTTATGTTAGTGAAAGTGAAAATAAGTCGATGTGTAACGAATACCAAATTTGTGCAATTCTTAAAAACGCGCCAAGCAATGGCTGATTCTGCACGTTCCCCCACGAAAACCAACAGCAGTTCGAAATATAGTCAAAATTCAAAGTATGCAATTTGTAGCATGTGATACACATACTACAAATCATGTAGCCCTCGATCTCTAAACTACGAAGTACTAGTCAGATTAAACTTAAGAGAAACTTTGGCACATAACAAAAATATGGTTGCTGTAACATTGGGGAAACAGTTGATTCTGGGTTAGCAAAAAACCAAGGTTGATATTTGGTGTGAATCCAAATGGACTCCCTTTTTCTAACATTAGAACTAGTTATGCTGTATTATGAGTGCATACAATATGCATCATTCTAGTATGTTTTATCATTTACTGTCAGGAATAAACAGAAATGTGCAGTTCATGGTTAAGTTGAATAACACACTAATAAGTTTTAACACTTAGCAGTTTCCGATGCGTAAAGTCTTGTTGGAAAGCTTGAGGAATTAATTACTTTTGCTTCCATCAAAAGACACTACACCTGTTTTCTCTAATGCGACATCAGCAAGCCTGTCCTTTCCCTCATAAATGTACGTTTTAACTATGCTGTGTGTCGGTTCTTCTTGTTGTCACTTATACAGTCAAAAGTCGTTAATTCGGAAACCCATAATCCGGACCTCAAAGCTATAAACTTTCTGTTCATGCGTCACGTTGACGCATGCACGCAAGACCTTTACGGCTGTGCATACGCGTTTATAGAAACATGTGTGCATAATATGTTTGCGCATGTGCGTTTAATGTATAACGGACGGTATAAGCTAAGCTAAAATTATCTAATTCAGTTTTAAATATTGCAGATTGGGTTGTTCCTTAATCTTCGAATTGGATCCGGCTTATTATTTTTTGCAGACTGTTAGAGCAATTTTATAAAAGTAAGCTTGAACTTTCGATTATGTCAAATAGAATTTCCGATATATATTTACTAATATGTAAAGGATCTACAAAGCGAAAGTATGTTTCGAAGTCCATTAAAGAAAAAGTGGATTGCTGCAAAAAATGGATAAAGGCATTTGTTTCTCTAACCGTTACGAAATCTGTTTATCAATTTCACGCTGCTTTGTGGTGGAGGGGGGGGAGCAGCAGCGCGCAATGAATTGGAAGTTGATCTGTCAGCACTATCCTTATCTTCAGGGCAGATGTTTTTATTATATTTGGCTTATAATTCCTTACTAATTGTAGTATTTCATCTCGATGTACTCCGTCTTTGATATGATTTAAATCAAATTCCTCGTCATTATAATTCGCTTCCGATAGTGAAGAAAAGTGACACAGATGTTATTGAAACCGAAAAAATTTTGATTGACAAATTAGTCAGTATTCCCGACACAGCAATTATTGGGCTTGAACAGCGGAACTTTGTAACTGAACAAGAAATTATGTCTTTTTATAGAATTAGAGAAAGTATTATCACATAAAATGAAGCAACTTAAACAACTTTCATTCAGAGAAATGTTTAATAAAGTAAAAAAATAAATATTAAGCTTTTTTTTTTTTGTAAATTTTGATACCCTTTAGATCATAATTATTCTTTATTTCATAAATTACGGTTTCATATTTTTAATTTTATAATTTCTGCATGCCATCATATCAGATTTAAACTGATGATCTATAATCCGGAATCACCGAAGTCCGGATTAACGACTTTTGACTGTATTTATTATAATACTGTAAAAGTTTTCACCCACATCCTTCAATGTTTAGTATAATACTACAATGTGACTTCCTTTTTAAATTAAGCCTCCGTTGACATTTGAAATTTGCACTTACATACTGGATGATTAAGTTTTTCGGATTTTGGAGGAATAAGTGTAGTAATTGCTGTCATAAAAAATAAGCCACAATTTTTAAATTGCAACACGTTCTGTGTGAATTGTTCTGCAAGTACCAGATAAAAGGATACAGTTCTGTTACCGGAACTGTAAAAAATCACCAGACTCTTACCAAAAATAATTATAATAACCTAACATAAGGAAAAAAGTGTAATAATAAATAAGAAAATTGTTTTAAGGTGAAAATGTACTTTAGCCCACTGCTTGGCAATTTTTTGAAAATTGGCAATTTGCCATTTTTCTGGGGACATCTTTAGGATTGTAACCTCCCCGAGACACTCATCAGAAATGTAAATAAAATGGCAACCAAGAAATGAACAAATATTTAAAAAAATTACACAAATTTTTTAAATTTAAAGAAACGTAATTGAAAAAAATCTGATGTTTTTTCCCCTTACTGTTTTCAGCAAAACTGGAATAAAACGTCTTTTTTGAGGAGTTTGATATTCTTTTTACAAATTTCATGTCAGGCAGGACACCCCGGCAACCTCCCACTTTGAAAAAAAATTACTCATGTTTATCTGTAGTTTCTGGCAAATAAAGGTTTATAATCACAATTAGAAACGCATAAAGAGTTTCATCATTCAGAGATTGTGCCATTTTCTTTACATATATTCAGCTAAGTATGAACCAAATTTGCCATCAATGTGATTTGTACTTCGATGCAAATTATGTTTGGACCCTGCATGGAATTGGTGTGCGTACCCGTCTCAGTATCCTCAAAGGGCAGACAGTGGTTGATGATAATATGGTCAAAACCTAAATTTTTTCAGCCCACCATAATGCTTTCCAGCAGTCTAAAACCACAGAGGATCTTGGCAACACTCATCCAACTATCGTTCTCTCAAAACTCATCTTTAATCTGTTTTCAATCTCTAAAAAAAAATCAGTTCATCCCTCTTTCAATAGTACCCAGTGGCCGTCTACAGGCTTTTCTCTTCCATATATAATTTTTCCAAACTTACTCTCATCCACTTTAACTATTGCTCCTTTACCATGAATCAGAATATTATCATTCATCATAATGCACACTTCTCTACAAAATATGTACCTACAAAATCTGAGGATTATTATGACCATGATTACCAGAATATGGCAGCTTCTACTAAAGTGGTTTGTATAACTCATAAGTATCTTTGCAGGTACACCACAAACAATCTTTTGGTGATAAAAATCTGTGTTTTGATTTGCGTAACGTGTAGCATTGCATTCAAAATGGCTTCAAATGCATTGCTGTTCTCGACAGATTATCTGTGCCATGGCATGAACTGTGATAAATAAGCAAATAAATGATAATGAGTAAAGCGGTGGCAAGCTTCCATTCATTTTTCCGTCTAATCCTCATATGCATCCCATTGTTTAAATGGGGACACGTCTCATGATGGAAATTGACTTTGAAATTAAAAAGCCACCCCACCCTTCCTTAGTCCCCTCCTCCTGAAAGAGAGATGACAGTCATAAGAAGGAAATAAAAATTTGATCATTGTTGAAGAATTAAGGATATTCCCGCATCGGGTGACCTACTCCCCATGAGCCATTATTGGAACCAAAAGAAACTATTGGTATTGTAATATTAAACTACATGAAAAGTAGCAGTAGGTAAGTAGATACTTATGTATTAATGCAACTATCTTGATGCAATTTGGTGGGGTTCCCCATCCATTAACGCAGAAATAGGTGTGAAGATTTCAAATGACATATCACCGCAATGTGTCATTTCTGCACACACATTTCTTTATAAAAACTGTTGGTTTTGGACCCCCTCTCTGTATGCCAGATATTTTATAGAGTTCCCACTGTACATGTATACGTATATTGTTAACTATTATTATTTTTTGTTTCAGGAAATGATTTTTTAATTAAGTATTTTGATAATGACTGTGTTTTTATTGTTACTAACCAGATAGATAATATAAAGTGACATGGTTAATAGTTATGCATTCAAATCACTTTAAAATATCTTTTTCAGTATTGGAGAGAATGTGAAATTATTAATAGATCGTCCAGACGGCATTTATTGCTTCAGATTACACAAGAACAGAGTATTTTATGTCAGGTAAATATAAAGTAATAACTCTTCTCTTTAGTATATTTTTATGTTTGCAGATAAGTTACAATTTATGTAATATCTATTTTTCCAGTGAAGTAAATATGAAACTTGCCTGTAATATACCCAAAGAAGCAATTTTGAGCTTGGGAACCTGCTTTGGAAAATTTACAAAGTCTTTACAGTTTAAGTTTCATATCACAGCTTTAGATTACATTGCCCCTTATGCTAAGGTCTGTATTATTTAGTAATATTTTTAATAAAGATATGCTTTAAAAATTATAATTTAGAAGTCTTGGAAGACTCTAGTTGACAAAGTGAAGTAATCTTATAAAAATGTTTCTTAAATGGAGATTTATCAAATTAGGTTTCTATGAATGTTTTAAACACTAAACTGATATCATAAACAATATTTGTTTTATAAGTTTTTAATGCAAAATATTGGTATTTTTTGATTATTTGCACACACATGCAGAAAAGTCACGAACTTACATATTTTGTTATTAATAGGGCAGCAAGACAGTATCAGTAATCAAAATACTTTTATGATTCTGTACAGCCGTATGTCGTCTGGGACTTCTTGATGAAACTTATCACCTTTTTAGGGGTTATGTACATTTTTATTGGTTTCACCAAATTGAAATTTCCAAAATCATAACCATCATTTTCAATTAGAGAGAAAGCTCCATTTAATGATTCCCATAGATTTTTTAGGGATACATCAAGACAAAATCCATGCCAAACTACCAGAATTTCTCAGCTTTTTTATCTCCATAGAAGAGGTAATGTCAAATCTGAAGCCTAAATAAAAATTATATTAGAATTTTAAGTTTCTTTATTATACACTAGCTTTAGGTCAGTATTCACCTTCTTTCTGTGGCTTTTCATTGTATCTACGTGCTTAGAATACATCTCCAATTTTTAATATTTAAGTTAGTGGAGTCTGTATTTACTTTTTACCCATGACCAAAAATGTCTAGTTGCATATTGCATAACAGCCCATTATTCAATTATGCAAGGCTTGGATAACCTTCAGGAAAGTATTGTCACTATTAATCTGTGATATGTTGCAGAACATTTCAAGAGAGACTGAATCTCAGCGTGACGTGTCAAATAACTAAAGTAGATATGCAGAATTTTTCACCTGTAATTAAATGAGGGAATTATTTTGTGTTGGTAATAGAACTTAAAGTTTCTCTTTCAGAAAACAAATCTAGATCATGCTATAGTTAACACAGTTCCTGAGATATTTAAATTTGTTATTAATAGATATTTGTACATAACTGTATGTAGCGTAGTAAATTCAACCAATGAAATATTCTTTTCATGATAGAATGAAAATATCGGTAGATTTTTTTTTAATTCATTGAATAAAAAATGGACTTGGAATGCAAAGTGTTTTGATAAAAAGTGTGGCATCCCATTAAAACATTTGTTGAATACACTTTGTTATATATAGACGGCGGGCCATAAATTTCAGGCAAACCTGAGTGCAAAAAAATATAATTTGTATTGTTTCACTAATTGAAAAAAACGTATTAGTTTTAGTTGATTGGTACAGTACAAAGTCTTTAATCCGGACCTGTCGGGACTTCGACGATTCCGGATTAGGGGATTTTCCGGATTATAGATCATCAATTTAAATCTGGTAAGATGGCATTCAGAAATTATAAAAATAAAAATATGAAACCATAATTTATGAAATAAGAGCAATTATGATCTAAAGGGTATCAAAATTTACAAAAAAAGGCTTAATATTTATTTGTTTACTTTATTAAACATTTCTTTCAATGCAAGCTGTTTAAGTTGCTTCGTTTTATGTGCTAATACTTTCTCTTTAATTCTGTAAACAGACATAATTTCTTGTTCAGTTTCAGTGTTCCGCTGTTCAAGTCCTGTAATTGCTATGCCGAGAATATTGACTAACTGGTCAATCAAAATTTTTCCGTTTTCACTAACCTTTCTGTCACATTCTTCATGCCTTTATCCATTTTTTGCAGCAATTCCACTTTTTGTTTGATGACATCAAAACATGCTTTCGGTTTGTAGATCCTTTGGCAGCTCCAGAATCGGAAACTCTTTTTGACATAATCGAAAGTTCAAGCTTACTTTTTATAAAATTGCTCTAACAGTCTGCAAAAAATAATAAGCCGAATCCAATTAGAAGATTAAGAAACAACGCAATCTGCAACATTAACTGAAATAGATAATTTTAGCCTAGCTTATACTGTCCGTTATATATTAAACGCTACGCATGCGCAGAAAGGTTGTAGCTTTGAGGTCCGGATTAAAGACTTTGTACTGTAATAAAAGAGGCTGTGAGTTTTATTTTAGGCAAAAAGGAAATAATTTCTTAGTTCAATTTTTATGGAGAATAAACAAGATTAAATTTATTTTAAATCTTCAGAAAGAAATGTGAATTTCATTGCTTTATTTTAATTGAAATGCAAACGGCTTGAATGCTTTATGAAATAAAATAATTCTGTAATGTTGGTAGGTGTGAGTTTGTATGCTTTCACAGAATTAAAGAATAGAATTTTTTTTAAATTATATCTTATAGAAGTAAAAAGGTTTAATTTTTAACTAGATTTAATCTTTAAATGAAATTAAATATAAGTATCATTTAAACTGATTATGTAATAAAATCCAGTATAGCTGTATTTTATAGTAATAAAATATAGCATAGATACTTAGCATATATATCCTAATTAAAAGATGTGATAAGCATTTTTTAGGTAAATATGAATAAAAAGTCTTATTTTGCAGTTGTGATCTGTGTATATCAAACATGTAATGTATGAATTTATATCTTCTTCTAGCACAAAATATGGCTGAAGGCTAATGCTGAACAGCAATTTTTATATGGTCATAATATATTAAAGACTGGTCTAGCAAGAATTTCTGAAAACACAATTAAATATCGAGGTGTTGTTGTTTACTCTTTGAATGATCTTCCCCTTGTAAGTACTTTTGTGTGATTTAGGTTTGTTAAATTTTGTTTAAAGTTGTATTGCTTTAAATACTTTGTTACCAATTTTATGAAATACTCGTAAGGTTAAAGTTTTCCCATTTCCATCTCTTTCCTTGTTTCATAACCATTTTCGCCCGACTCTTGCATGATTAAAATTTAACTATGAAAAGTGTAATACGAGTTTAAAGTTTTTAACTTTTTTCCATTTTCTGGAAATCTCCAGGGACAATTTGTCCCAATCATCTAGGATCGTTGTTCCAATAACCTTAACACTGCATGCGAATAAATAATAAAGTTATATGAAATGTACCAAATATTTTATTCTTGCAGTACAAATTAAATATGATATGGCATAAAGCTATCTTTACAAAGTACAACCTGACACATGTGGCAAAATAGGCCAGGTTTCTTTAGTCTTATATTTGTTTGTTCCCTAAATCCTTAAAAATACTGCAAATGCAAAAAATAATAAATAATAATAATAATTAAAAGTTGCTTTTATTTTCTAATAGAGAATGAAATCTAATCTCTGGGACTTATGTGTCCATTAGGAACTAAAGGGTTAAATGAGTGGGTAAAAATATGATTATGGTTTCATTTTATGTATAAAATCCGAATTTCCATGAACTCAAAGTTATGTAATTCTTTATTTTATATTACACATTTATGCATTTAATTCATTTTTATTAAATAGAACATTTATTTGCCTATATTTAAGAATTGTCGGTACTATTCCGTTTTGAGGACCGTAAAAAGAATTTCAGCGAAAATGTATGCGCAAAAGCGCCAAATCTAGCAAACGTGCCCATTTATCAGCGCATTGAATCTAGCATACGTGCTGATTTCAGATTGCGTAATTGTAAAAGTTAACATTAAACATTGTCATATCCTTCTTTTTCTTGGGTGTGTAGATTCTGGATACGTATTTAATTCCTACCGTAGACGTATCGTATTGTGTGCGTTGCATAAAACAGCCATTTTAACGGCACAAAACTTTATTAACACACAAATAAAAATAATAAGTACAAACGATTAACACACAAGTATAACTTCGTATTTTGCATCTAAGCTGACATACAACACGTTTCCTTCGTTACTTCGCTACTCCCTACTAACTACTCTTCTCTAGTAAGTCTCATGAGAGAGAGGCGTTGCAGGCCATTCGGCTAAACTGCGCATGCGTGGTCATCACGTCATGACACCTCCCCTCGAAAAGATTTGATTGCGTCTTTCAATGACTTGTCAAATTCACATATATAAACATTTCTTGAAACAAAATAAAATAACATTTATGAAATTTTCAAACTTAATTAACCAATTCTTACCATTTTAAATTAAAATTACTTCAACATAAATTCAGTAATCCTATTCATTTAAAAGGATGTAACATTCAATTAACTTTTCAAACTTAAATCTTAAATCCTTCACATAATCATAGTCATATAAGCAGTTATCATATAAACGAGACAATGCAAATCAATCATTACCATTAAACATAATACTTTAGCAAACCCTGGCTAAATCTATAAACACATTACCTAACGTTAGAAAAACAAAATTTAGCATTTTAGCAAAAAAAAAAAAATCAAACTAAACAGTCAAAATGTCTTATAGTTCATAGTTCATAACGTCAGTCATGCTCCCACTGCATGAAATCGCTGTAATGCTAAAGACCAGCGTTGTAAATGAGAACTATGTGAAGAACATTCGGTGAGAAATCTAAGAGGGTTATGATCACTAACGATGACTATCTCAGAACTGAAGATATAAGCTTCAAACTTCTTCAGGGCAAAGATAACGGCAAACGCTTCCTTTTCAATAACAGCGTAATTTCTTTGTGTCTCGGTCAACTTTTTACTAGTGAAGGCTATTGGGTGTTCTACACTATTTTCATCTTGTTGAGCTAAACAAGCTCCTACAGCGTATGCCGATGCGTCTGCGTAAATGATGAAAGGCAAACTAAAATTTGGAGAGTAACATTTAGGGGCATTGCAAATGGCACGTTTTAGTTGAATAAACGCTTCATCGTGTTCCTTCAACCAAGTAATTTCGTTCAAAGCCCTTCTTTTTGTTATTGCCGTTAAAGGTTGTGCTATCGCAGAAAAATTGGGTACGTAAGACCGGTAATACGATAATAGTCCTAAAATACTTCTTACATCTTTCTTAGTCCGGGGAACTTCTAAATTCTGCATGGCTTCAACTTTTTCTGGGTCAGGTTCATGTGAACCGGAACCAACTATGTGTCCTAGAAATTTGATTTTATGCTTTGCAAAGTCACACTTATTGAAATTAACCGTGAAATTTGCCTTTTCTAGCGTACTTAAGACTTTGTTAAGATGTTTCAGATGTGTATTCCAGTTCATCAGAAAATATAATCATCGTCATCAATATAAGAAGCGGCATAGTCTTTATGTTCGGCGAGAAGTTTGTTCATAATTCCTCTGAAAAGTTGCAGGCGGCATTCTTTAATCCAAACGGGTAAAACTACAAAGGCATATTGTCCTTCTGTGGGTCACAAACGACGTCAAAGGTTGGCACTCAGGCTTCAGTCATATCTGCCAGTACCCTTTAAGAAGATCGATCAAAGTGATGTACTTTGGACTTTGACACTTGGTAAATTAGGTCTACAGTGTTTTTCATCAGAAGGCATCGGTTTCCGTCTGTGAGTTCAGGTATCGATAGTCCACACATAATCTAACAGTTCCGTCTTTTTTGGATACACAAACTACCGGATGTGCATATTCACTCTCCGACTCAACAATTAGCCTAGCTGCAATAGCTCATCTATTTGTCGATCAACTTCATTCTTAGAAACTTCAGGTATTCGATAACGGTTTCTGCTTTCTTGGCATACATCCAGGTTTCAGTTTCATGCTGTGTTCTCCACATTGGCGATTTTCGGAATACCAGTTCTTAGGTTCTTATGCCTTCTTAAAATTTCCATAAGTTCTTTCTTCTTATGCGGTTCAAGGTGTGTAAAATCACATTCCTCATTAGAATAGTGTTCTTTTGCTTTCCGTGGAACAATTCTTTGGAACGTTTTCAACTTCGCCGAAATCAATATCTGTATCATATATCACACCGACATTATTCACAGCGGTATTGAACTCTCGTATCTTGTTTGCGTGAACGTGCTTCGATGAATTGTCAAGCATTTGTACTATGTAACAAATGCTTTTTGATATGCTTTTTAAGTATGCTTTTTGATGATCGTAGCAGATCCCGTCCATTTGGCATAAACTTTGCTTTGGCTATCAGGGATTAAAACTATAACCCTGTCACCTTCCTTGAATTCTTTATGACGAGTCTTTCAGTTACGGTAGAATGCATAAGCTTTTTGCTTTCCAACATCTGTAAGTCCTGCGTATTCAGCAGCTTTTTCCAATTTTCGTCTTCAAATCATTCATAATCGGTAACTGAACTTAACTGTCCATGAGGAACAGGAGTTTCATTAGTCCATTAGACGTTTTCAAAATAGACAACGGGCCATTAGGACGTCTTCCATAAAGCATTTGGAACGGACTAACACCAGTCGTAGCATTAGGAACTTCTCGGTAGGCCCAAAGTAAATACGGTAGATGTTTTCTCCCAATCTTTCGAATGTTCTCTAACGGTATGATGTATCATTCCCTTTAAAACAGCATTAAATCTTTCTTACTTCTACCAGGCCATTTGAACTTGGATGATAAGGAGTCGAGAACCTTGGGGACGATCCGATCCTTTTCAAAAACTCTTGGGTCAACGAAGCAGTAAAATTAGTTCCTTGATCTGAAGCAACAATTTCAGGAATTCCTGTGCATGAAAAGATTTGCAACAATGCATCGTATGTTGCTTTGGCATTCAAATTCTTCAATGGCACCGCTTCGGGCCATCTTGTACATTGATCAACAGCACACAGAACATATTTGTAACCTCTACAGCTTGGCTCTACAGGTCCTAGGATATCCACATTAATTACCTGGAATGGTTCTTTAGGACGTGTTACTTGGCGTAATCGGAACTTCATCAAAGGGAACGCTTTTTTGCTTGAAGTTGACAAGAAGTACAAGCACTGCAGTATTCATTCACATCTTTCTTTTATTTCCGGCCAATAGAACGAATATCTCAAACGTTCGGCTGTCTTCTTGGTTCGCAGGTGGCTTACCCATAAGCTAGAATGAGCTAAGTCCAAAATTTGTTTTCTTCTTTCTTTGAGAACGACTAACTGGTAAACTCTTTCTCCTAGAACTTTATCTTTATGATACAAAAAGTTGTCAATAACAATAAAGTTATTACTTCCGTTCTTAACATTTTGCCAGCATGTTTTTAAAGATGGGTCATTCATTTTGTTGCACTCGAAACAGTTCTGAATCCGAAGCACATTGATCGTGTCCCGTGCTACCTTTGGAATCATCCTTACCTGTATCTTCATATACAAGCGCACAACATTCTAATATCTTCTTAACAGTTTCATTACATTTTTTTCATTAATTAGGTTTTCCCTATCATGGTTAAGTATTTCGTCAAAATTTTCAGTTTCATGAAAAGGCATTTCACACCGAAACTATCAGTAGCAATGTTTACATTTTTACATTCAAAATTAAACTTTCTTTTATCATCTCCCCTTAACTCATTAAAAGCACTTAACGACAAGAAGTAAATCATTACATAACTTATCCACCATTGCACATGTTATAAAAATAGGTGACATAAATTTATCATCTTTACAGAATATATTACTAAAGGTAGGTTAATGAGAGGAGCTTTTAAAGCTTGTCCGAAAGCTGACGTAAGGATAACACTTCCATGTGGCGTACGGGTATTTTTCTGGTACGATATCAGGCCTTGACAACGGTTAATTGCGTGCCTGTATCCTGCTACTGCATTAATTAATTTACCATCACATATAAGTTTAACGGTTAGGCAAATCATCTGATTAATTCATTAACTTTCTTGATTCGCACAGTAAAATATTTAGAAGCAAATCTTTTGCAGTTATGGCGTTAGAATTATTCTTAATTTCTTCTTTAGCAACCCTTTTCCTTTATCTTCATGCAACAATATATTATGATACTTAGAATTACATTTTGAGCATTTTGATTGAGATAAGGGCAATTTTTTGTTATTCTACAGTTCCTTTTGAAACAAAGAAAGCACCGATTAGAAGCCATTAAACTCTTTTTCCTTTCTTCCGGAGACATAACGCATTTTCCCGAAGCATGATTCTCGCTTTCGCAAAATAAGCCAAAGGAAAGTTCGAACACTGCAATTTTTGCTTACATTAGGGGAATAGCTGGTGCCAAATTTGTTGGCGTTGAATGAATTCTGAGTGTGGAAGTTGTTTCGCTTTTCATTTGGTTGTGAATGCCTTCCAAGAGAATTAGCGTGACTCTTAGAATAAAATAAATTTAATGAAGTTCGTTCGCGACTTTCAATTTCCCCGTTTTAGAAATTTCATGAGGTTGCCGACATTAAAGTTTCCTCATCTGCGTTTTGACGAGCAAAATCAAGCGTTTATCCTGAGGTATGCATTTCATTAACAAAGGGTATAGTAACTTTCCATACGATTCGGTCTTGACCCCTATCGAATTTAGTGACCTTACTTGTACGTTGCAGGTATCATATAATTCCCTCAAAGAATTAATGTCATTAGAACTTCGGACAGGCCGTAAATTTAAAAAGTTTATGTATGTAAGAATTAATAAGGAGATCTTTTCGACCATACCTATCTTGAGAATTTTTAAAAGCTTCGTCGTAGTTTTCTGGAGATAAAGAAAAGCCTTCTATTGGTTTTAAAAGCTGCACGCACCGCCTAACAGGCTAAGCAAGTAATTAAAACTTATCTACTTTAGATAGTTTTTCGTTTTGATTTATTGCCATGTCAAAAGAATTGTAAAATGTCTGCCACACTTCAGCATTCCCATAAAATTTATCAATCATAATCTTTGGCAATTTAACATTATAATCAGAACTTTTATATCGACACCAGAAATAGATAAATTGTTACTATCATTAGAAGAACCATTAGAAACTAGCGAATTATTGCTATTTCTTTTTCTTTCAATAATTTTGTGCCTCTAAAGCTCCATTTCGCAATTTTTTCTTCGTATTTCCAAGGCACTTTCGATTTCGGTTTCAATGTCATTAACATCAGTCAAAGTTTTAATTTTTTCGTCTAACGCTTTCAAAGAAATAGCTTTTACTTTTAAAATTTCCAGTGATTCTTCAAGGTCTTCAAGGTTACCTGCTGCAATTAATGATTGTTATAGGCATAGTTACTTTAGCATTTTTTACTTTAGTAATAGCATTTGTTACTTTAGTAATGGCTGAACGAATAACTTTCTGTTCTTTCTTAGATTTCGTTAGCTCTTCAGCCATTTTTGTAACCTTGAATTCCACTTTACCACAAAGTAAATTGAACAAATTTCTTACCTTTCTGAAGACTCACTTACGCATTTATCCGTGAACTTTGCATGACATATCCTCCTGTTCTGACACCACTGTCATATCCTTCTTTTTTCTTGGGTGTGTAGATTCTGGATACATATTTAATTCCTACCGTAGACGTATCGTATTGTGTGCGTTGCATAAAACAGCCATTTTAACGGCACAAAACTTTATTAACACACAAATAAAAATAATAAGTACAAGCGATTAACACACAAGTATAACTTCGTATTTTGCATCTAAGCTGACATACAACACGTTTCCTTCGTTACTTCACTACTCCCTACTAACTACTCCCTACTAACTACTTCTCTAGTAAGTCTCATGAGAGAGAGGCGTTGCAGGCCGTTCGGCTAAACTGCGCATGCGTGGGTCATCACGTCATGACAAACATTATTCTCTACACCTAATGAGACTAGAAATAGTATGAAACAACTTATCACTTCAGGTGCTTCAATGGCTTAGTGGAACTTTACAGTATATTAAGTGAGTTCGACTCCAGCAATTCCTACACAAAGCTATTAACTGCTTCAGATGGACAAAGCACAACTAACTTTCAATCCTTACTAACTGCACCAGCATTGTGAGTGGTGACAACGGCCATGCATCTGTTATGAATCATGCTCTTATGGTTTTACTTCTCATTTTAACCACTTGACATCAAATCTGCATAAACCTCTAGACTTAATGAGTATATGATAAAACAGGGCATAAAAGAAAGAATCAACATAAAATTGTTAGTAAAACTTAATATAACTATTTCAATAAATTTTATAACTTTATGCTAATTATTTGATAAATTTTACAAATTTGATTTTATTCTTGAGTTTGTTGTATAATTATTTTAAATATTAAATTATATTTAATAATAATGCATTCAGCATATAGGTATGTTGTATTCCTAAAATGAAATTACAAAAGTAAAGTTCAGGAGTAGATAATTGCTTTAATTTATTCATTTCCCATTTTCTGATAGATTCCTAATTTTTTTATTGATAATCCTTAAAGGTACTTGACTTCTGTGTGCAGAAATATGTATGAATCCTGTGGCTTGAAAAAGCTTTTTATTAGCTTTTTAATTTATTCACAATAAATTGAAAAAATTCTTTGAATTTTAAAAGAGTAGCTGAATGGTATTCTACTATAGACTACTTTATAGGAAATGTTGAGCTAAACTTTGATGATGATATTTAACCTTTAAATAAATATTGTAAACATTGCAGCTGAACTTGTTATCTTCCTACTACTACTTAGCAATAATTTGATCTGTTTTCAGTTATTTCAAGTCATTTTTATGGTAGAAGCTTGTTTGGGCCATTGCTGTTTTAACCTGCCAGTCCTGAACTTATCCCAGTCTATAATGAAATAATATTCAAAAGTCATTAATCTGGACATAAAGCTAAGAGTCATATATAAAATATTACTGTATTGCTGTGCTGACAGTATAATTCAAAAATAAAATGACACAAATATGTATTTTGCACTTTTTCCTTAAACATCCATTCATGAAATGCAGCGCTGGTCCTGCAACTTACAGGTGATAATGTGGAAATAAATAATGTAGAACTTGATTGGAAACTAAAAATTTTGAATCGTACGTGTTGAAAAAGGTCATTGTGGAAATAATAGATTGAGACTGTGTTGCATATGTGTGTACAGGCATCTCCAACTTTTCTAACAAATTAAGGATAAGAAACCTTTTGAAAATCTTGATGTATCAAAATGCAAACCTGTCTTTTATTGCACCTTAGATAAATGTAATCATCATCAAGAACCATATACATTTTATGTCAGTTTCGAAATGTACATGGAGTTAAAATAATGCCCTATGTGTTTATGTGTGCATGTACAAAAATCAATAAAAACTATTAAAAATCAGACTGCATATTAATTTTGGTTAGAAATATTAAACAGTATATATAAAACTTTTGTATATATAAAGCATATTTTTGAAAAAAAAATCAAAATATTTTTTGAAAAAAGTGTGAAACAAATTTAAAGTAACAAAATTTTTATGAAGAAAAAATATGTGTAATCTTTGTAATATTTTTATTTAGTTCTGTACCATATTTCTATAATATTAAACATTTATGGTGATATATATTTGAAAGTAAATTATAAAATATCCTGAAAATGACAAGTCTCAATATCTTATAATAATCATACTTTTTCAGGGTTTTGGAGTAGCAGCAAAATCTGCAGAAGAGACGCGGAATGCTGATCCCCTGGCAATAATTGCATATCACCAAGCAGACATAGGAGAGTATTTAAGAAATGAGGAACAGTTATGCTAGTGCAGTTGTTCCGGACTTTGTAAAATATGTATATAAGTGAAATAAATTTTTTATATGCACATCAGATTAGATATTTTTATTTCTTCTAGAGCAAACATTTCAATGTTTTAAAATATCATAAACTGAATGATTTTTCTCTTAAGTTTTTAATATGAAACTTTTTAATATTATAATTTGGTTACAAAAACTCGTGCAAATTATTTATTCCTTTGTGAAAGCAATAGTTATATTTGTATATAGTTGGAAATTTTGTATATAGTTGCAAAATTCTGAATAGTAAATTGTATAAATAATGTAAAACACAGACTTTGGTTATTTTCAGTGTATAAGTAAAATTAAATAGTTTGTGAGGTTCCTTTATGTTAATTAACCAGTTATATGTTTTGGATCTGTGCTGTCATTTCTCCCTTTTTGTTTACCTGCTATAATGCAATTATAATATATTCTTGGTTAGGGTGTTTAGATTGTGAAAGAGAGCATCTTCAGCCCCTCGTTCTGTCCCTTGTACTAAGTTGCTATTTTAGATAAGAGGTCTTGTATTCAGAATTGTATTGTAATTGCAAAAACTGTGGTTCATGTATAAGATATACACTGTTTATATCGCTTTGATTTTTATCAATTAATGCTTTTTGCAGTTTTTGACATAAATTGAGCTGATCTTGTTCAGTGTATTTATTGAAATCGGAAATATTCCAAAAAAAATTAGAAACTTCTGAAGAAGATGAAATCAAACCTTTCACTTAAAGATAATATTGCAACATCTTAAAAATATATACAGTCAAAAGTCGTTAATCCGGACTCGTCGGGACTTCGGCGATTCCGGATTATAGATCATCAGTTTAAATCTGGTAAGATGGCATGCACAAATTCTAAAATTAAAAATATGAAACCGTAATTTATGAAATAAAGAACAATTATGATCTAAAGGGTATCAAAATTTACACAAAAAAAAAAAAAAAAAAAAAAGAGCTTAATATTTATTTGTTTACTTTATTAAACATTTCTCTCAATGTAAGTTGTTGAAGTTGCTTCATTTTATGTGATAATACTTTCTCTTTAATTCTATAAAAAGACATAATTTCTTGTTCAGTTACAAAGTTCCGCTGTTCAAGTCCCGTTAATTGCTGTGCCGAGAATACTGACTAACTTGTCAATCGAAATTTTTTCGTTTTCACTAACCTCTCTGTCACATTCTTCATGTCTTTATCCATTTTTTGCAGCAATTCCACTTTTTGTTTGTTGGACATCGAAACATACTTTCGTTTTGTAGATCCTTTGGAAGTTACAGCATTGGAAATTCTATTTGACATAATCGAAAGTTCAAGTTTACTTTTATAAAATTGCTCTTACAGTCTTCAAAAAATAATAAGCGAGATCCAATTCGAAGATTAAGGAACAACGCAATCATTAACATTAACTGAAATAGATAATTTTAGCTTACACCGTCCGTTATACATTAAACGCGCAGGCGAAAACGTATTCTGCACTTGCGCACACGCATATGCGCAGTAGTCAAGGTCTTACGCGCACGCGCAGAAAGTTTTTAGCTTTGAGGTCCGAATTAATGACTTTTGACTGTATATATATATATATGTTTTTTTTTTTTTTTTTTTTTTAAAGTTTACTTTTTTGTTCTGTATAGACTGGGCTTCGCTTTCCTAATTTTTTTAATTTATTTTTTGAAATTTTTCTAGGCCTTAATATTTTTTGGCTTTTAAAATTTGTATAAACATCTAAAGAAGATGCCAATTCTTTACTTTCGGTGAGCATATCACTGAAACCTTTATCAGATCCATATTCGTTCAGAAAGCAGTTTAATTTATTTAAACTTTCAAAAGCCTGAGAAATATTAAAAATTTATTTTGGAGAATATTGCTAACATTAACTTTGTTCAGTATTTTGTACCATAAACTACCATACATATAAAATTAAATTTTTGAATTTCTTTTTTTAAAGATGTGCCCTGATTTTTTGTAATGTTTATATATATAGAGAGAGAGAGGGCATCAAAAACCTCTGATAATTGAAGCCGGGTTGTTGCATTGGCTAGCCGCCAAAGCTATTTCTGGTTTCGCTCTCATCGAAAATAATTACGAAGCTGCTCTTGAACTGTTACGTTCGAGATTTGGTCAAAAGAACATCTTAATTAATTCGCATTTAGGACAACTCTTAAGTACTTCTCCTGTTAGAAATCCTAATGATATAAACGGCTTAAGAAAACTTCTAGATCATGCCGAAGTACAGATAAGAAATCTTGAAGCATTAAAAATAGACTCTGATACCTATGGAAATCTGTTAACGCCTTTAATTTTGAAATTACTTCCTAATGAATTCGTTCTTGATTATAGCCGAAAAATTAAAGACGAAAATTGGGATTTAAAAGGTTTGGTAGCCTTTTTGAGGAATGAAGTATTCAGTAGAGAACGCGCGGCTTCTGTTAATTATAATTCTAGAGAAAAATATTTGCGATTGGAAAAGCATTTGGCCTTCAAACATAAACATTCTCCAGCCATAACGAGCAAGCCGTCTACAGTTGAGTTATTAGCGGCGTCAGCCGAATCGCAGTGTCTGTTCTGCGGGTCGCAACGGTTCTAAATCATAAATCTGCGGATTGCGAAATTTTAAGTGTAGAAAAGAAAAAAAGAGATCTTTGAAACGGAATTGCGTGGTGTTTTTTTTGTTTGGGTCGGTTTCAAAACCATCGGATTCAAAATTGTAAACAAAAAATAAACTGTGCCTTCTGCTTTAATAAACACTACTCGAAAGCCATTTTTGTTATTCATTTCATCAGAAAAAAGATAATGAAAAACCTGAAAAGAAAACGTCGGATTCGAGCGTTATTTCCTCTGTTTCGTCATATAATTCCGATGAAAATAGATCTAATAAAATATTATTACAAACGGCTTCTGCATTGATCCGAAATAATGATAAATCTGAAAATGTCAGAATTCTTTTTGATAATGGCTCAATGAGATCTTTCATAACTAAAGATGTATCTACTAAAATGGAACTTCCCATTGTTAGAAAAGAATCACTTTCTGTTTATTCCTTTGATGATAAAAGTGCGTTAGAAAAAAACCTTTAATGTTGTTAGAGCAAAACTAGAAAATGTTAACGATCCTAATCTTTATATATATATATATTGAGCTTCTTGAAACTGAAAATATATCCAATACTGTTATCTCTCCTCCAGATTTGAACTTTGCTAAGAAAAATAAAATTTTATAAAATTTACAATTAGCAGATTGTTGTAGGAAAAGTGACAAAATTGATATTCTCATAGGGGTAGATTTCTACTATTCTATAATTACTGGTAAAATTAAAAGAATTTCAAGAAATGTAGTAGCCACTGAATCTTTATTTGGGTGGTGTTTGCAGGGTAAAGTAAATAATGATCATAGTGAATTATTAACTATGAAAGTAATTGTAAATGAAAACTTGATATCAGATCAGTTACAAATGTTAACAATCCTAATCTTTATATATATATTGAGCTTCTTGAAACCGAAAATATATCCAATACTGTTATCTCTCCTCCAGATTTGAACTTTGCTAAGAAAAATAAAATTTTATAAAATTTACAATTAGCAGATTGTTGCAGGAAAAGTGACAAAATTGATATTCTCATAGGGGTAGATTTCTACTATTCTATAATTACTGGTAAAATTAAAAGAATTTCAAGAAATGTAGTAGCCACTGAATCTTTATTTGGGTGGTGTTTGCAGGGTAAAGTAAATAATGATCATAGTGAATTATTAACTATGAAAGTAATTGTAAATGAAAACTTGATATCAGATCAGTTACAATTTAACAATCCATCTTATTATATATTAGATTTAACGACTTTCATATTTTTCCTCCAATTGACTTGTCGAAAAAAATTTATTTTGACATAGATGAATTTTGCAATTCTATTCTTAATTATTTGCTTCGTTTGTCTAGAGTATTGCTTGGCAGCATTGTTTTACGCCAAGCAGAGTTTGGCTTTAGTGTAACCCTAAAGTTATTTCGTTTTTGCTTTATTAGTATGAATGATTTCTGACTTGATGTAAGAGCATATGGTTGCTCGCTCTTAGCTAAGTTACATTAGGTAACTATAAGCACATGCTTGTGCTAGTATTCAATAATGTTGTTTTTTTGTTAAAATAAGATTGTTATTGTTAATATCACAGTCTACTTACTGAAGTTAAGTATCATTAAATAAGTTCGAGCTATCTTCGGCAAGAACAGTTTGGTCTCACGTTAGCCGGAGAAGAAAATGGCTACTAATATTGTTTCATTGAATCGCCAACGCGGCGTAGTGAAAACGAAACTCGGAGCTTTGATAAAATTCCTTGATGAGTATAAAATGGAGGAGAATAAACTCAACCATGATGTTATTATGAAGACTAAATTGGATTCTTTGTTGGAATTAAAATCTCGGGTTAAACAACTCATAGTGGAATACACCAAGTTGCCAAAGGAAATTGACTTGAAAGATAATGTAAGCATTACACAAGAACTGGAAGAAGAATCGAAGAGTTCGAAGTAAGATTTAGAATTTTTTTTCCTAATTTTGAAACAAATAATAAAGATAAATTTGAAACCAAAACTGTTTCTAAATCAAATTTTTAACTGCCTGATTTACCTCTTCCTCAATTTTATGGTAAATATGAAGATTTTAAAAATTTTAAAGTGCAATTTATGTCTATGATTGGTAATAATAATAATTTAAATGATACTGAGAAACTGTTTTATTTGAAAGCATCACTTAAAGGTGAAGCAAAAATGTTAGAATCATGTCAGGATACATTTGAGTCGCTATTTTCTGCACTTGAAAGCAGATATGAAAACAAAAGAGCAGTAGTTGATGCCTTTATCAATAATTTGTTGAACTTTGAAAAAATAAATGACTCACCTTCTCAGTTGAGATCACTGGTAGATAATGTTAAAAGATGTTTGAGATCTTTAAGTGTATTAGAATTTGATAGAAATAATTTATCTGATGTTTTGATATTAAATATTTTATTGCATAAATTAGATAGAGAATCTAGAAAAGCATTTGAACTAAACGTAAAATCAAATGA